AGATAGATAGATAGATAGATAGATAGATAGATAGATAGATAGATAGATAGATAGATAGATAGATATAGATATAGATATAGATATAGATATAGATATAGATATAGATATAGATATAGATATAGATATAGATATAGATATAGATATAGATATAGATATAGATATAGATAGATATAATTTAGCAATTTTCAGCAAACTTTCTCAGTTGATACATGACAATAAAATATTTGGCTTAGATATGTACTTCACTTATTTTAGCAGAAAAAAGAAATTTGGTATGAAATTTATGCTTTTTTATAGTATGGTGGTAATTGATAGAACTGGGGAGATTTTCATTTTTTATTCTTACCTGAAGTTGAAACTGAGAGATTCTGTAAAGAATAAATATGAAATTCAGGCAACATATAGCAAAACTGATATATAACCGAAGAACTACAAAATTTATGGCAGTCCAAAGCTTCAAAGGGGGTGCTTCAGTTTGATTAAACTACATCTGAATCACTGCAGGGAAGCAGACTCACAAATCAAAGCAGAGACTTACTTTGAAGCAGGAAATTGAATCAAGTCACTTCAAAGTCTTTTGCACTACTTCATTGGCGTAATGGCTTTTCTGCTGCTTCTACATTTGTAACAGATACTGTAAATATAAGGTGACAATTTCACTAGTATGGTTGGCTGCAAGCTGAGTGATATGAAGGAGTCCCTAATGTTCACTTGAAGAGTCAGCCTCTCTAAATTCTTTCTGGATGAATGGTAAGACTAATGCTGCTTTGGGCTCTATTAATTTCCCCCCCGCCCCTCAACTCTCAGCTGTTTTATTGTGGTCAACTACAACTCTTAAGTTTGCTTTCTCATTGTGTGAATGGAATGTTACCCTTTTGTGTTGCTCGTCATTCTGAATCTGAGCTAAACCAGTTTATTCCATTACACACATTTAAGATAAAACTTTTTTTTTTTCAAAATTTTGCAGGCTTGGCATGGATTTACGTATTCCAATAAGGAATAATTTAACCCCGGGATAAACAGTATGTAGCCCAATTTCTTGGTATGTTTAAGAATAGGGAATTATTTTTTTCTAATCAAAGCCTCTTTATCAGTGATGGGATTAAAAAATTTTTTTACTACTGTTTCTGTGGGCGAGGCTTGGTGGGCATGGCAAGAGAAGGATACTGTAAAATCTCCAGTCAGAGGTGGTACTTGTCAGTTCTCCGAACTACTCAAAATATCAGCTACCTCCAGAATTGGTCAGAACCTGCTGAATATCACCTTTGCCCTTTATGATTTTTTGACCAGATCTGTAACATTGCATTATGCCTTCTTGCATTTACTGTTTATGGTAATTAACTAACCTAAATATTGCAAGCAAGACACAAGTTTGATGCAACAGAATCCTAAGTTTAATAAGAGGTACTTTCTAAGAGGGAACAAGCTTGCTAAGCAGCTAGACAACATGTCTAGTTTGTCTACCAGTAACAGAATAATAGAATAACAGAAGGAGTTGGAAGGGGCCTTGGTCTTCTAGTCCAACCCCCTCCATAAATAGCTGTCCAATCTTTTAAAAACTTCTTAAAAACCTCTTAAAAACTTCCAGTGATGGATCACCTACAACTTCTGAAGGCAAGCCATTCCAGTGGATAATTGTTTTCACTGTCAAGAAATTTCTCCTTAGTTCTAAGTTACTTATCTCCTTGATTAGTTCCCATCTATTACTTCGTGTCCTGCTTTCTTGGAAAATAAGATGACTCTCTTCTTTGTGGTAGTCCCTCAAATATTGGAACACTGCTATCATGTCAATTCTAGTCTTTCTTTTCAGTAGAGTAGACAAGTCCAATTCCTGCAAACTTTCTTGATATGTTTTAGCCTCCAGAATCAGTCTATTGTGATTGTGATTTAAAAATATATTTGTAAGTATTTAACTGGATTTATAAGATTTTTTTAAATCATGTCTTGTTTCATTATTTTTCCTTGAAAGCAACAAACTAAGTGGATTTTTAAATTGGTAATCATTCTACAAGGATTTAAATGATTATAAATTATATCACAAATTAAACTACTTCCTTTTATAATCACAACACTGATGAAATGAAGATATTATGATATTATATATTCCAGGAACATGACATCGAAATCAAAGGTGCACTATAAATATACACTCAATCTGCTTTCCACAGAAACTATAAACACTAAAAGTATCGGATATTATCTCTTGATTATTGTTGACAGTTTGACGTGCTTAATAATCTAAAAAGACTGCTAATGAAAAGTGTCTTGGTTTAATATCCCGGATATTTTTTTGGCCTGCCAAATAAAGCTGTTACCCTTATGCAGGGGGTCCCAAACTTGGCAACTTTAAGACTTGTGGACGTCAACTCCCAGAATTCTCCAGCCAGCTAAGTCCACAAGTCTTCAAGTTGCCAAATTTGGAAACCTCTGCCTTAATGGAAGGTGTGCTACATTAACACAGATATAATACAATTTACAATGACTATTATAATTTAGAAAATCTAAAGCCTTGTTTTGCATAATAATTGGGTTAATAATCTTGGGAACCAGAATAATCTGATCCATTTTTACTTACGGATGACAAATTCTGATGTGTTAGCTTTGTACAACAAAGCACAACAAATTTGCCAGAAATAAAAGAACTACTGTAATCAACTTGAAGATTTTGCATAAGAATTCCTATGTGAAATATGTCACCAGTGGTCATCCTGTAGCCAATAGAGACTGGGTTTCATATGTGCTGACTTTGTGTTACTGCACAGTTCTTGTGCACAATTACAGGTTACAGGGGTGGAGAAAAACAAGGTAAATTCTTACTAAGAAAGCTTCTGGTTCTTCCTTAGGCATGAAGTCAACTCAGTCACCTTGGGACACTTTCTCCCTCTTAACTCTAGGAAGCAGCCAATGGCAAACCACCCCTGAAAAAAATCTAAGACAACCAGAGAAACTTATCAGAAGTCAAAACTGACTCAAAAGGACCAGAAAACAACAAAACCCTCTCTTCTGGGTTCATCTTGATCCAAAAAAATGCAAATATTATATTTAATGATTGCCCCATAGATTTCCCAATAATGACTGTAATGGATGATATGAAATTAGTGCTATTTTAAAGAATGTGTCAGAATAACTTTCCAATTCTGAAGAGTCTTTTTAATGTGATTCAATTATTTCCAAATTATTAAAAGCACTGTTTGTCAAATAATAATCTAAATCACTTACCATTCAGTGTAGTAATTATTGGTATCTGAGCAAAGCCGCTTCATATAAAAATTGATAAATGTATGTTATTAAAGTAATCCTAAAAATAAAAAAGTAGCAAATGATTCATTATTCTATTTTTATATCTATGACTATGAGATTAGTTTAGGTTTTCATGGTGTGGAAATACTGTCCTGAAATGTGAACATTGTTTCTATTCTCCTTAATAAATGTAGTTTATATCTTACTATTTTTGTATCAATAATTATAGGACTTATGAGAAATTATTTTTGCAAATGGTTATTGTTGATTTTCATCCATTTTTTGAGGAAAACATTGTCCAACTTGTTCCGCTCAAATTCTGTTTTGATGTGACTTGCCAATTATTATGCAAATAGTACAGAAAAGGCAAGGAAAAATACTAAAATGGGGACGCATCAAAGCCATTCAGCGAAAACTTTTACGTTTCATAAAAGCCCACAGATTGCTGACAGGCAAAAACCTGAAAGTCACATGGGAAGGGAATGTAGTACCCAGGAAGTCACAGTTGATTGGGATTCTCTGCTTCATTACATTTAGCTTGAAAGTCATACTTGTTTTTAAATATAGCACTCCCTGGCTTACCTGAACAAACTAGAATTCACTTTCAAAACACCTTCCCAGGATAGTTTATTTGCTAATCTTTTGGGTGCTGCTAGAAACCTTGCTATTTAGGAGAACCATAAATATTTTATCCGGCTGCTGCAGCTGTTATTATGGTTTACCAGCGTCCAGTTTTATTTTGATCAGCTTTGCTTATTTTTAGAAGAATTAAAAATTGTTTTAGAAGCTGCTAGCTGTTCAGAGTTCAGGATGAATGTTAATAAGATTGTCCCAAATTTAAAAGTATGTAAACAAAACTGTTTATGCAACACTGATTTCTTCTCCCTTGTTATTCATGGACAGCCGCTCTTAAAAATCAGGAGATTCTTCAGAACAGGATGATCAGAGAGACTAATCCCATGTGAAGGTGCCCTTCGTTCAGCCTTGAATCCAAATTACTGCCTATATTTAGTAATGAGAAAGCAAACAAAAACTTGTTATACTGATGGGTAGTGGGACTAATTGACAGATCAAATCTAATGGCAGATACAATCTTTACTTTTGGATAAGTATCTTTACAATCCAAAAGGACAAAAAGTGTAATGTTGCATTTAAATACATTGTAGAGTTGAAGTAATGAGAGGCTGCTATAGATTCACTCCCATAAGAAATGTCTGTCCATTTTTTGCTGCCTCTTAGTACCGTCATTGCATGGAAACAGCTGAGGAGCATAGGAGATAATAAATGTTCTGGACATTGTGGAGTTATAGACTCCAATGCATCAGTCATTTACAGGAAAGCTATTATTACACTCTAAATAGATGCTTGCATCTCAGCGTAATTGCTGAGTGGAGAAAATTGCTCCACTTAACCGAGATCATACTTATGTATAAATTCCTTTCTGGAGAGCATTGAGGAAAAATATAGGGGCACAGGAAAATGACACAGTGAAGAGATTACACACAGGAGATCTTCCATATTTGTACTAATGAAGCAAATTATCCTAAGGCGAAGAAAACTGCTTCAAAAAGCAGGTTGTTCTGTTTCAGATCAAAATGCTGAAGCGAGCCTGATCTGTCTCTTCAATACCAGCCTAGCTATTTTAATCTGATACAACACTTGAATCAAGTCCTTTGCTTTGAAGATGTGCTTTAACTGAAACCTTGGCAAGAGAAGTTCCCTTCAAAGCTCCATACAGCTTTACTGCCTGGTTGCTTATATTTCTTTATTCCTGTCTGTTCGGAAAAGTTATTCACTTGTTAAAAACACAGAATAATACTTGGGTAAATAGATTATCCACAAGTTATACTTTACAAATTGCACCTGTAGATATACCCAGAACTTGCTGGTGAACTTGCCACAGTGAATTATAGGAGCACTTCTTTTACTAGCTCAGCAGTATAGCCCTTGACTATATTATGCCAAATAAGCAGAGAATGGAGATCCCTGTGGCATTAAACAGGAAATGGATTTTTAATTATGTATCTGTCACAATGTCATTTATAATTAGTATGGTATAATCAGATACTCATTCCCCACTGTAGGTAGGTTGATGAAGATCAGTCACATTTTACTGTATATCATCTGGTAATTTGCACATTTGAAGCATTAATAGAGCACTGAAGATAAATTAACCAGTTTAGATAAAATTATAATATAATGTGTGGATGATCTTGGAAAGCGAGAAGAGATGCTGTCTTGGAAGTGTTCTAGTTATCAGGAAAGGAAACTTGGAAGGACCCACCCTAATGCATTAAGCATCAAAATAGTAGTGGGAAGTTTGTGAGATTCTATTAAGGTAGCATTGCAATAAAGTAGAATTAGTTCATCTAGTAGTTTCCCTGCCTGGTTTACCCGAGAAGGCTGATTATAAGCTTACTGAAGATAAGGATGTGAACGTGTACAAATAATAGCAGTAGGAAACAGCAAAAGTAAAGAGTATTAATGACTAAACAAGAGCTTTCTATACGTAAGAATCTTAAGGAGCCTGTGCCAAGTGCACGTGAGCGCAGGGCTGCTTGCAGGAAAGAGCAGCTGCAGCAGCACGGGCAACTTGGGAGTAAGGCTGCAAGGTAATGGCCCCTCCTTCAAGAAGATAAAAGCCAGCTGTGGATCAGATGTTCTTTGCAGGAAGCAAAGAATTTTAAAAACTCGAACCTCATGGACATTGCAGTATCTTAGTTGGTGTCTGTGTTGTAGAATATTTCTAGGTAACCTTATCTGTTATTTTTAGCAGCCTCACAGTTTTGGCAAGACTCGTGCTTATCAAAGTTAATTAGTTTGCAGCAGCCTTTTAACCGGGGATTCGTAAGAACCATTCAAAGATTTCTGTTCCCTTTGGTTCATGCTTGTTTTATTGGACAAGGGTTTGGGTCAAAACATAGAGTGAAATGGCAATCAATTGTATGTCAAAAATCAGTGTCCATAGCAAAATGTTTTAGCTTTGTAAAAGGCTGTAACAGACCTTCAACTGTAATGTCCTAAGGTTGCCTAATATCTTCAGAGGTAATCTGTAACAAATCAAACAAATAGGGAATTTCATACGATTAACAGAATTCTAGTAACTGTCTTTGCATACAACCAAGGTTTATTTCTAACGTCATCGTGTCAGGTGTATGAAGTCTACCATGCTTGCCTTTTGCAGATGTTCAGAACAATTTTCTTCTCAGTGACTGTTTATATCCAGAAATTTGATTCAGAATATAAGAGGAAAATGTAAAAGATAAAAGAGCATGTAATGAGTATGTTACATATCTGTGAAATTAACAGAAAAAGATGTAATAAGATTTGAATAGAATCTGATACTTAGTTGAACAATATGCACACAAGAAAGTAAAAGTGTAGGTTTAATTATGAATGAAAGCTGATTAAAATATGAATTAGTGTCTATGTGCATATGATACCAGAAATCTTATGTTGATGATTGTTGCATAGTAATAATGGCAATTCTGGAAGGTGGGTTTTAGGAAAAATATGACCCATTCTGAATGAATGATTCCAAGGATGGAAATTATTTTGTAATAGACATGAATGGTAATGTGGGAATAAAAGAGAGACTGAGTTGTTCAGAAACTAAAAAAGAATTCTCTGCTTTGAATTTTTATTACCCATAGTAGTAATGAGGCACACATAGTACCTGTGTTTGACAGTTGGAAGAATGCTATATTTCTATTATATAAAGGGACACATAGCTGGAATTTGTAAAAAGATAGATCATTCAAGGTTAGTTTGGGAAAATGACAAGATTTTCATTGAAATGGTATTAAAAGGTAGC